TGCTATGATCGGTATGTCGTTCATGTTCATATCTGCTACTAGTGCAAGTAGTAATATCAAACACGTGCACATACATCTTGTCACCACTTTGCTATGGATTTTCTAACTAAATTTAATATAAAAATGCCTAAATTCCTAAGGCCTTCCTCTTGCGATCAAAATAATTTATCCTTCCTCGTGCCTCGCTTTTCTGCTCCAGCATCCGTGCATTCCACCATGGACTCGTATCTATGGTCTGACCGGCGCCACGAAACAGAGGAATCCTGAAGCCGCGGCCGGACTCGATGGACGATGCGGCGTGGTGGAGATGGTACCAGTCGTTCCTCCCCATCCACCTCACCGACGCCGGCGAGCCATGGCTCATCTGCTCCTACAAGACCATCTTCGAAAGTTTCCACGGCTTCTCTGCCTGGCTAACCGAGGCCGAGCATGTCCAAGAAGCCGGGCTTCCGGCGCTGGATCCCGGAAGGGCTGATGTACGTACAAAATGTAGGCGCAGACGGCAGAGCGAGTTACTCGGGCTAGGGCAGAATCTGACAATGTACTAGCTAGGTTCACATATGCAGACTTTTGTTGGTCTGCAACAAGACTGTACAACGAATTCTATCACCGAGTAGAGGATGATAATAATATAAGTTGATCTGGTTCCTAGTACAAAAGGGATAATTTAGATTGATTTCCTTTTGTTTTGTTTTAATGTGAATTTCCAATGCATACATACTTGTGTGTTGAAATTTAAAATGCCTCCGATGCCTACAGTGAACTTCGGTTTACTGATATGAAGTTGTAAGCATTTCGCACACAGGCTCGCTCACCGAGGCAAGTTTAGGCTAGGGAAGCGGTGAAGAGCGTGAAAATGTGGCATATGCGTGAATGATCCTTTAAAATCCAATCCATGGCCTCAAGCGTTGGTGACTTGGTGTGCACCAAGAAACAGGAGAGGAAGTTAGCTTTTTTGGACGAGCGTTGGTGTACACTAGGAGAGCTTGGTTTTTGGGAAGTGCTATGCGTGGCTACTCAAGCTCTTCACAAGTTGTCTTCTGCCTAAGTCAAGTAACAATAACTGTCGACATCGATAACATAATGACTACTCAAGCCCTTCACGGCTCGTCAATGGAAGGTGAGAGATTTCCGTACCTCAGAAGTCTCCTGGTGCTACAACGCAGGCCATTAGCGAACTTGTCAGCCCATCTTCTGATGTGGCTGCGGGGCCACCTGGCCTGTACTGTCGACATGCCCAAGACAAGAAACAACAAAGAAGCACTTGCACGACATGACCAATCTTCCCTTCTAGTACCTAGTTGAAGCGAAGCCCACCTCCAGACACCCCTCGGCCCATGAAACGCTAAATCGTCTGCGCTGCACATTCTTAACCTAGTTTATTCTTCTGCGGACCAATTACTTACTCATGGTCATGGGTGTTAGTTTCATCTTCTTGGGCCATATATAATATCAACATTTGGCCCATCTTCCTTTTTTTTCTGTAGTTCTTTTATGTGCTCCTTAATTCATGTTAGTAGTACTTTTCATTCTCTGCTTTTCCTTATTGATTATTTACAAAAAAAAAACTGCATGTTTTAGTATACTTCTTTTAGTTTCTTATTCCTTAAGTGTTTTCTTCCCACAATTGTATCATCTGGAATCATTTGCAATATGTCACGTGATATAATGCAAATTTCTAGTAATTTATTTTTTCTTTAATGTTAAATTTCAGGGCCCCTTTGGAATGCAGGAATTATACAGCAGGAATCAGTTCATTTTTTACAGGGAAACGCAGGAACGGGACAAAAAAACCCACGGTCCAAAGGGGGCCTCAATGTTGTCATCCTATGTTGAATTTGAGAACGAGAAGGTAGCTAGCACTAAGAAAGCACAGACATGCTCAGGACAAAAAAAATAGAGGCATCACGTGAATGATAAGGCTTGCATGTGTCTTTTGAGTAAGAATGCGAGTGATGGATCAGGACAAACGTCTCTACAAATGGAGGATGGCTAGCTAAGAACTCCATGGTGGTTACGAAATACATGTGAGTGACACACCAAGGAATCCAAAGCTAGCTATGCACAGTTCAAGGAGTCATCAGGAGGGAGACCCGCATGTGTGATGGCCTTGTTGCAATAGATTGTATTGTGCTGATTATATTGGAGAAGGAAAGAAAGGTAAAAAGTCTGCCACTACAAACATTTTAGCAACTTTATCTGCTTCATATATTTACTAGTTGTTTGAGGTAGTCCACGGAAATACACAGCTAATAAACTAACTACCGGAAGCGTTGATCTCTGTCTTAGCATGACGTGTCTACGAATCCTTGTACAAATTCAAACAGTATATTCTTACGTCACAAAACAAGGTCAATTGTGTCAGCCAACTGTCAGTAGTAGTGCAGCGGTTACCCTGCCATACCAACAGACTCGACCACGTAAAAGTGCAAGCCCGTGCGTGTGCACGGTTTGTGACTGTGACAGACCATAGTTTCCCGAATTTTCTGATGACCAGTATGTTCTATATCGATCATACGAAGCTTGTAGGCGGACAGGGGAGGCCAACGCCAGGGAACAAATAGGGGAAGCTCTCCAAGACTCCAACTGACAACCAAAGGTGGATGCTAGATATAGTTGGGGGCGAAGCTCATTGCTGGCATTCACCGAAACTGTGGTTCTTTTATCCAAATTGATTTGTTGTGGGCCTGTTATTTTTTTTAGATAAAGGGAAGTTCTAGCTCATTAAGCGAATGGAAGTGTCCCGGTCTCTACATCCATGGATGTATCCAACCAAATCCATTATTACAAAGTCTTACCATGGCATCGACTCCGTCTAGCACATAGCCACAAGCACCATAAACCAAACGATGGCAGGAAAATAGCAAGATGTTTTTCATCACAAACACACTCTATTGCTAAATTTTCACCCATGGTTGGCCAAGATCTCCATGGTGTTGATCCTCCTTTTTCTGGAGCAGAGATTACAATCGGATCTAGTGAGTACTCCTGAAAATGACCTGCATGGGAGAACAGTTAGGTGATTTATCAAAAACTATATATGTCGTTTCCGCTTAACCATCTAGCCCAACATATGGCGCCCACCTCAACTAGAATCTTCCTTTTAACTTTATTTTCCCACCCATCTAGCCAAGAACCAAGAACCAAATAAATGAATCTTGTTGCTCGGCGTTTGTAGGCCAAAGGTAATCTCATCAACGGCTCTCCAGACAAATCTAGCAAAATGGCAATTGAAAAAAAATGTTGTATTGTCTCTTTGTTACCACAGAAGCAACAGTTCACATTTCCATGCCAATTTGTTTTAACTACATTGTCTTTTGTGAGAGTAACCCCTTTGTGTAAGAACCATAGGAAAATTTTTATCTTTAGGGGCAATTTTAATTTCCATATATCATTGCTTGTGATAGTTATATTATTTGCAAGGCTAGCACTATACATAGATTTTACTGAAAACAGACCACTCTGATGGAGTTCCATTTAAATGTATCTGGAAAATCCGTTAACTGTATAGGTTCTATTCTTGCTACTAGATCCATCCAAGCATCTAGTTTATTTCCTACAACTGCTCTTCTGAAAGTAATATTCAGCGGGCTTGAGCTTAGTACATTTTCTATGGTGTCGCGTACTCTTCCTGCTGGCCAAATTGTAAAATACAGGGTATTTTTTCCCTTAATTAAAGTGCATTGTCCCAACCACATATCTTCCTAGAAGCGTGAGTGCCATTCTGTAGTTTAAAATTACCAAGGCCCAAAACCTGGTCTTCAACACTCATCAAGCCATCCAGAAGTGTGAATCTCTAGGTTTTCGTTGCACTTGTGTTAGAGTTGTGGTTGCTCGATATTTATTTCTTAGCAGGCTCTGCTGTTGAATTAGAACTTAGCATAAACAGGATCTTATCTTAGCCTAAACATGATTACTAACTCATCTTAATGCAGAAACTAATCTTAGATACTAACTAGAACCTGGGGACGCTATCTGTGTCGCTGGAGATGTGATGGAGTTGATGTAGATAAAATAGGTGTACTAATCTTCACCAATTGAGAGTTAGAACTCTCTCTTGATGAAGAGCTTGGTGTAGATCTGCAGCAGTAGTACGTGGACATGGGAGATGGCCTGCCTAAACCCTCCAACGCCTTAGTGACCGGTTATGTGATTTGTTTCATATGGATGGATGGGATGGAGACGCCAGGGGCGCCTCCCCTTATTTATAATCGCGTTGTGGGCTAGGGGGGCGAACCCTAGAAGATCTAAGGGTTGCCGCCGATCACGGCAGATCTTATTTAGTTGGAAATAAATGACAGATGGACCAAAAACTTAACGCTTAATTAATCTTGTAATTAAGTTCAGGACTAGCCGAACCGGTCATATTCCAACATCTGTCATACCCTTTCTAGGGTTTAGGGCGTCCCCAACAAGGGACTAGGAGCTAGCTAAGAATCTACATGGAGGAGAGAGAGCATCGCTAGCTAGTACATCATCGCTATGCTTGCACGGTTCTCAGTGAACTGCACCTCTTCCTGACCCACTTTCACAGTTCATAATTTTTGTTCTTTGTTTATTTTCCCACCACACTATGTCAGCTAGCGATTTGTGGATGTTGTTTAGGATGCCCTAATTAACTTGAACAGACACAGAGGACTTGAGCAACGGAGTATCAAACATCTGTACCACTACCATCTAGCTGAACTTCCATTCGACCGTTGGAGTAAATTCCAGCAAGTTTTCCTTGGCCGCCGGGCGTGACACCCAAGCCAATGCGCTTCCGTATGCATTAACGCAACGCTTTGGTCTGAACGCGGAAGCATGAAAACAAGGTTGGAAGAATAATTATTATATTATCCTTAGTCTACAATCATCGTATACGAGAACGCTACAAGAACAATGCTGGCTAGTGGCTACGCCTATATATGAGGCAGGCTCTACAACTACGACTACTACCACCGGCTTTAGTTTCCAAGTATACTCAACACGTTCTAGGCTGCTAGCTAGCTAGCTGCAAAATGCCTTCGGCCGTTCACTCTCTGCTCGTCTGCTTGGTGCTCATTGTTTCGCCCTATCTTGGCTGCTCCTACCATACCAGCTACACCCAGGGCGGAAGGCACTACGTTCTCCGTTCCAACAGAGACCCACGGCAACCGAAGCAGACGCCGAGCTGCTCCTCCGCACATTCTGGTGAGGCATCATCATAGTGCTCCTTGTTATTTGTTTTTGTAATGGTGCATATATATGTGCCTGTAGTCTGTAAGGATGTCATGTTAACTTGTGACCTAACTAACATTGTAGGGCCGAGCAGCAGCCAAGCAGCGCCCGTGGTGCACCGGTTGAGTCCATGCTCCCCTCTCGGCGCCGCACGGAACCAGCAGCTGGAAAAGCCATCCGTGGCTGACGTCCTCCACCGCGACGCACTCCGCCTCCGCTCCATGTTCCAGGAGCACAACCATGGGTCCCCTTCCCCTGCACCCGCACCGACGTCAGCTGGAGGAGGGCTCTCGATCCCCAGCAGAGGCGATCCAATCCAGGAGCTGCCCGGTGCGTTCGAGTACCACGTCATCGCTGGCTTTGGCACTCCGGTGCAGCAGTTCACCGTTGGATTCGACACGACCACCACCGGTGCCACGCAGCTGCAGTGCAAGCCGTGTGGCGCCGACGAACCGTGCCACCACGCCTTTGACCCGTCCGCGTCGTCCTCCATCGCTCAAGTCCCTTGTGGCTCGCCGGACTGCCCGTTCAAAGGCTGCTCCGGACCCAGCTGCACTCTCAGCGTCTCCACCAACAACACTTTGCTGGGCAACGCGACGTTCTTCACCGACACGCTGACGCTGACGCCGTGGAACACCGTGGACAACTTCAGGTTCGTGTGTCTCGAGGTCGGCTTCGGGCCGGGCGATAGCTCAACTGGTATCCTCGACCTCAGCCGGAACAGCCACTCGCTAGCGTCTCGCGCCGCGCCTTCCTCTCCGGACGCGGTCGCCTTCTCCTACTGCCTGCCGTCGTACCCGAGCGACGTAGGCTTCCTCTCCCTCGGCGCCACCAAGCCGGAACTCTTGGGACGCAAGGTGAGCTACACGCCGCTGAGGAGCAACCACCGCAACGGGAATCTGTACGTCGTGGAGCTCGTCGGGCTGGGCCTCGGCGGCGTGGACCTCCCGATCCCGCGCGCCACCATCGCCCGCGGAGGCACGATCCTGGAGCTGCACACGACGTTCACCTACCTCAAGCCCCAGGTGTACGCGGTCCTCCGCGACCACTTCCGCAAGTCCATGTCGATGTACCCTGTGGCGCCGCCGCTCGGAAGCCTGGACACGTGCTACAACCTCACCGCGTTGAACTCTTTCTCGGTGCCGGCCGTGACGCTCAAGTTCGACGGCGGGGCCGAGGTTGACCTCTGGATGGACCAAATGATGTACTTCCCCGAACCCGCGAGCCCCTTCTCCATCGGGTGCCTCGCGTTCGTTGCGCAGGATGGCGGCGCTGTGATTGGGAGCATGGCGCAGATGTCGACGGAGGTGGTGTACGACGTGCGCGGAGGGAAGGTTGGGTTCGTCCCGTACCGCTGCTGATTGAAGATCACCGGATGTCTGGATCACCAGCATATATGCACGTCTGCGTGCAGGGTGAAGAGCAAGCATGCCGTGGTGTGTGCTCCTTTTAACATCTTTTGTCTGTAATAAGATAAGACTCAGAGAAGTCGCGCGTGATGCATTTTCGAGGTATGGAGCTACAATGTCCGTACGCTCGAATAAGTAGCAGCAACAGCGATCAAAAGCTAGTTCTATGCTGCTTCTGTGTTGTCATGTTTGCCAATACTAAGAATTACAGTTTACTTTCTGTTTTATTTGATTCTTTTGTATTCTCCATAGCACTCGAATTGAATGCGTGACGAGAAGACGTACATGTCGACAATACGGGTCTCGGCAGAAATTTGATTCACTAGAGAAACCTGCATTTCGGTGAGCTTTGATCAATGTAGACAATAGGTTGCTGGGAGAGCAGACCATAGTCACACCTAATTGAATTCTAAGTCACAATTAATAGGGTACCAACCGTAGGCAAACCATCTAGACAACCATTGTGGTATCTAAAATCATAATAGACAGTACCTATGGGGTAGAACTATAGTCATACAGCGGCACCTAATAATAACAACAAGTTGCAGACTTGAAGCGAGCAAACTATAATCACACTCCTGCAGCAACCCCTCACAACAAGCTATAAATTGGGGATGGGGAAAGAAAAGTCAGAACCCTTGCTGCACTCCCTAATCATAACTGGTTGCAAGTTTCAAAATTCATTAAGTTGCGTTTCTTTTGAGTTCTGGCTTGTGTTCTCTATTTCGCAGGCAAAGATTAGCCCTCTCAGCGAGGTCAACCGCATTGTGACATGGTTGATAACTAGGGGAGTCAAGGTGCTAAGATGGCAGGGTTCGGGTCTTGTGATCTAAAATCGGATCGGTGTTTCGATCTCGAACCAAAGGATAGCTATCTCCATCTGACGGAAGATCAGGAACCTTCACTGCTACATAAATGATTTCACGAGACACTGTCCAATCTGTCGGGGACCTAATACCGGGGTACCCAATGAGGTGGAACTAATGACCATTGAACGTTGACGCTTCCGGTCAGACAAGAGCACTACTGCGCTTCTTGCCCGAACGACGGAAGACTGGTTCCACCTCGCCCGACCACCGAGGGCTGGACTCCGTCTCGCCCGATGACTAAGGGTGGGCTCCGCACGTCCGAGGGCGGGCTCCACCTCGCCCGACGGCGAAGGGCTAGACTCCGTCTCGCCCAACCCCCGAGGACTAGGCTTCGCCTCGCCCGACGGCTAAAGGCTAGACTCCGCCGCGCCCGACGGCTAAGGGCAAGACTCCGCCTCGCCCGACGACTGAGGGCTAGCTCCGCCTCGCCCCACGACCGTACCCTGATCCTTCATAAAGACGAGCACAGGGTCCGACAGGACATTCGAGTCAACCATGATATCGAGGGCCATGCCCTGTGCGCCAGCAGGAAGGTACCGACAGGATACGATGGGACGGGTGCTTTCGGCCCTTTCCATCATAACAGTGCCCAAATAGTGTTGTGGTCGCCGACTTTTGTCCCACAGTATAGTAGGCGCCGCTTTCAGCCCTCGGGCGCGGACACTAACACAGGCATACGACAGCCACTACGGTCCAAGACAGAACTCACATCATCTACAGTGACGGACGTGTGGTCACTTCCCCGATTACCCCCCGAGAAGTCACAGCTCGGCTCTCCGGCACGCCGCACCGTCCGCCGACGTAGAATGGGACGCACCCACTTGCTAAATGGGGCCAGAGCATGGCCTACGAGGATCAGCGAACACGCCACCTCTGACACGGTCAGCCATGTTAAGCAGGGCAGGCATAGGGAAAAAGGAAGATCCGGTTCCCTTGAAGAACCTTCTATGCCTTTTGTATTTTCCTCTTTCTCCCATCTATAACCCTTGCTCCCCCCTTGGTCTATAAAAGGGAGGGCAGGGCCCCCCACTGGGGGGATCGACTTTTGACGGATCAACTCACAGAGAGATCAATCGATACGATTCAACAACACACATCACGCACAGCTGAGCAGCGACTAAGCTCTCGGCGACATTTCGACCATTCCATCAGAGACTTGGGACCTGTCCCTCTCTCGACCATATGTACCCCCTACTACGAACCTTTTTCGGTACTAATAACATGAGCAGTAGCAGACTGGACATAGGAACGTTCAGCCCGAACTAGTATAAACCTCGTGTCCTTTAGTGCACCATCCGGGCCTAACGCGCAACAAATTACAAATTTACTAGCCGGTGTTTGTTCGAAACACCGACAGTTGGCACGCCAGGTAGGGGCCTTTGCGCGTTCCAAATCAAGCCTCGGATGGCTAACCACGCAATCAGCTGGGTCCCGGGCACACACGTGCGTTTCGGTGACCTGGACTTCATCGTCACGATGGGAGGAGAGTTGGCATTGGCCTGTCTCGCCATCCAGTCTCTCCCCTCCATCGGCTCCGGCTACAGGAGGCTTGAGCACCAGCCCCGCGTCTCCCTCGGACCCTAGCCATCCAGGGATGACCCGCGCCGCCTCACCCTCTCTCCGAAAGACTCCGCATGGAGCGCCCCGACGGCGTTCCCGTTCGGTCTCCGCAACGCTGCGGCGACCGCTAGCCACCTGGTGGCACAGCGCGCGATCCCGTCCCCCGCGAACAATGAGTTCGTGGGGATGATCGAAAGCGTCACAGAATCCCTCCACGGCCTCCTCGCGGAAGGCCCGGGGTTGGACTCTGGCTCTGACTCCGGCAGGGGGAGCCATCATCCCTCCCGGGAATGTTTCATGGCAGAAACCCTCGAGGGACACGTCGAAAGCATCTCCGCGGATGCGGCCACCCCAGAAGGCAACCTCGGTGACAGAACCAAAGGGGGAGCAGCGGGCCCACCTCACGTAGGGGTGGAGCAGCTGAGAGCCCGAAAGCGGGAAATAGACGAAGCCGGACAACAGCTTGTTCGGGAGTACATGGAGGTCGACGAGGAGATTGAGCACCACGGAGATGGTGGGCACGTATGCGCCGTGGCCCGCAACGTAAACCGAAGGATCATCACCGACGGTGAAACCCTTCCTCACTTCATTCGAGCAAGCCAGAACATCACCGCCGCAACAGCCCTACTTCATGGCCTTCTAGAGGCCGCGACGCCCGAGGATCGTCGGGTCCACCATGAAATTCGCACGCTACTTGAGCGTGTGGCAGCGCAGCAGGCGGAGAGCTCACTATCTCGGCGACGCGAGCCCGACACCAGCCAACACACCCCCTCGGTGCGCCCCGCCAGCGACGCATTGGTCCACCAAGCGCCGCAAGGCGGCGGGCAGCGCGCTGCGATCCTGGTACATCAACGTCTCGGCTACAACCGTGACGCACGCAGCACCCTCGACGCCCGCAGATGCACCTACAGCGACCCAAGGGAAGGAGCCCGCCGCGGCTATCATCCTCGACGCGGCGGACGCTACGACAGCGGCGAGGACCGGAGCCCGAGCCTCGGCCTCCTAGGGCCTCAGGCCTTCAGCCGGCACAACCTCAATGCTGTGTTCCCGCCAAGGTATCGACCACCTACTAATATCCCTAAGTACTCCGGGGAGACAAACCCCGGGCTTTGGCTTGAAGACTATCAGCTTGCCTGCCAAGCCGGTGGTGAGGATAATGACGACTTCATTATCTGCAACCTTCCATTGTTCTTGGCCGATTCGGCTCGGGCATGGTTGGAACACCTGCCGTCCAACGCAATCCAGAGTTGGGTGGATCTGAAGGAGATCTTTGTGGGAAACTTCCAGGGCACGTACAAACGCCCTGGGAACCCATGGGACCTCAAGAACTGCCACCAGAAGGCCGGTGAGACCCTCTGCGGGTACATCCGACGCTTCTCCCGGCAGTGCAACGAGCTCCCTAACGTCGCCGACGCCGACGTGATAGGAGCCTTCCTATCTGGGACAACCTACGAGTCCTTGGTTCATAAGCTGGGACGCAAGGGCCCACGGACCACCAAGTAACTCCTGGACATCGCCACTAGCCATGCCTCAGGAGAAGAGGCGGTCGGAGCGATCTTTGATCGCTTTGAGGGCAAGGCAAGGCGAGACGAGGGTACCAGTGAAGGCACCTCCAATCGTTCTGCCAAAAGAAAAAATAAGAAGCAACAGCGCGAGGACCCGCTCATGGCTGCTGCTGACCGCAAGGGTGGTCGGAAGCCCGCGGAGGACACTCCGAACCACTTCAAAAAATGCACGAAGGGCCATGCCCGAACCACGCCTTTCCCGTAAAGAATCAGCTCAAGGACTACAGCCTCATGTAGAAATTCTTGTCCGAAAGCTCCAACAAAGGGGAGCAGGGGAAGGAGCCCGCCCCCACTATGGACGACACCGAGGAGAAGGACGATGGCTTTCCAACACCAAACGGCTACCTTGTGATCTTCGGAGGGTCGGTGGCCTACGACTCCAAACGTCGTCAGAAGGTCGCACGCCGCGAGGTCTACACAGCCCAACCAGCCACGCCTCCCTTCCTCCGGTGGTCGGAGTCTGCTATAACCTTCGACCGGACCGACCATCTGGATACCATCCCGCACCCGGGAAGGTATCCACTTGTCGTCGACCCGATCATTGGGCCAAAGCGGCTCACCAAAGTGCTGATGGATGGAGGCAACGGCCTCAACATCATGTACGCGAAGACGCTCGACGAGATGGGCGTCGATCGGACGAACCTCCGCCCAACACGAGCGCCTTTTCACGGCATTGTGCCCGGGAAACAGGCCATGCGACTAGGACAGATCGACTTGCCCATCACCTTCAGGGACCAGTTCAATTACAGGACTGAGACCCGCACATTTGAGGTGGTTGGTTTCCCCAAAACCTTCCACGCCATCTTGGGACGACCATGCTACGTGAAGTTCATGGCCATCCCCAACTACACATACCTCAAGCTGAAGATGTCGGGCCCCCACGGGGTCATCACCATCAGCACCTCCTTCCAGCGGGCCTACGAGTGCGAGGTCGAGTGCTACGGCCACGCCACAGCAA